CAGTTAAATAAAGATAGTTTTTAATATTAAGAATTCACTTTTTAATCAATAATTTAAATTATATAGTTTAGATCACATCACATTTGTTTAAAATTTAAATATATAAAAAGTTATTTTTGTGAAAAGGATGACCAAATTAAATAATATGTTGGGGGTGTTGCTTTATGTAGGCGACATATAGTATCCCTTTTGCTTTGGCATCAATCTATTGCTCGACAACTCGTGGAGGTCAAGGGCTCTCCCTGGGAGTGCTAAACTTGTCCATTGTTATTCCACAGGTAAAGGATCAATCATATCCAAAAAAAATCATGATGAAAAAGAAGTTTCTGTGCTCGGTATCTATATCATTTTCCCTATATGAGAAAATCACTACATGTGTGCGGCCGCGCGTGTATATGTATATGACACATGCACTATTAGAGAATGTATTATTACTTGGCTTATTAGTTTGTGTTACGTGTATGCCAGATGTTTGTTTCGGTAATCAGTGAGCCGCTGGATGACGCATTTGGTGGTGGTAACTTGCCAGCCTTCGTGTTAGGTTCGATTGCAGCTGCGTTGAGTGCATTCATGGCGATTTTTTTGCTTCCAAAGCCTCCCAACCAAGCTTCTATTGCTCCTGGAATGGGTGGTGGGTACTGAGCCAAAGGCTTTCTTCTACTTTGCTTAACTACCTTGCTTTTGCCTTTTGTCTTTAACCACCATGGTCTTTAATCTTCTTTTCCTCCTCTTTTACTTTGGCCTTCATAAGGGTTGAATGCACTTCTATGAATTCTCTTTCATATTCTCTATGCTGGAGTTTGCCATACATGTATGCATATATATGGTATTTATTTTATTGATGCATATGAGCAATAACTTATTCCAGGCTTCCAGCTGTTTAACTTAAAATTTCCTCTGTTTTTCTTTCTTTTTTGGCCTTTAAAATTGGTCAAGTGCCCAAAAAAAATTGAAGATCTTAAATTGATATTTATTATTTTATTAAATATAAAAGAACCGTTTATTAACTCGGATGAATTGAACTTTAGGAATTGAACCTATTCAACTAATAATTAAGATCAAACGAGCAGTGCAAGTCCAATATACCTTTAATCAGAAAATTAAAATACCACCGAGCCTCAAGGCCATCCAGCGCGTAAAAAAGCTCACAATAAATATAGAATCACATTGTAATTTAAGAGGGTGAAAACCCTCAAGCATGTCCTCAAATTTTTTTTCTTACTGTTATAATTGATTCCTTGATTCCTTGAGGTTTTCTTTTACTGTTAAAAAAGCCCCTCAACTTGCAGAAATCTGTCCCAAGTAGATAGTGAATGACATGTGCACTATCTTCCATATATTGGTGTGTCGTTTAATCCATGCTAACATGGATCTTTATCCGCAATGTGATAAGGAGAAAATGTTTATTGACCGTACTTGTAAAAAGTTAAGAAAAAATTTCTTAAAATTTTGTTATTTTAATAAATTTTTATTTAAAAAACTAAATATCTTAATTGTTAAATTATGCATGAGATTATTTTAATATTTTCTAAAAAAAAAATTTAAAACAATATAACTTTTAGTGCCTTTTGGCTTAATTTTTTTACATGTTTTGTTAGCAAATACTAATCTCACGTAACAATTTGTAAAATCTCATATAAGATATTCTTGATTTAACAATATTCTTCCATGAATCATCCCCGTAAGATGTCAGTAAAAGTGAGAATTTGACATAAAGTTTCAAGTTGAAAGAATGAAGTTGTTAAATTGAAATTATCTCCACTGCACTATATTCAACAGCATTTGCATGAAAAATATGCTTGTATGCATATGTACATTTGCACTGAGGAACAACCTCAGCACGTAGACTTTCATATATTGCATTTGACAATTATCAAAGCAAAATTAAAGGGAAAAGTTGTAGTGCCAACTAAATGGAAGAAGTTAAGCCGAGAGAAAGATGAAGTTTGGCACTAATAATCAATGCCCCCTCAGTCATTTCAAGAGCAGCCCGAACAACATCTGCTTCTTCAAGTTCTTGAACGCCAATTTTTGCCATTTGGGTCATCGTCTATGTCATCCCTGGTGAATCACTTCTCTCCGACGGTGGTAATCGCAGTGATGATGACGAAAGCGAGGATTATGACGTCGATTAGGGAAGCAGGATTTGAGACTTACGGATGCAGTAGACGTCGCAGGCTTTTGTTTCTGTGAAGGGAAAGATTTTCTGGAGCTTTGGAAAAAAACGGGGGGCGTAGCCCAGGACGTTGCCGACCTCCGTAAAGAAGGAGAGCCGGGCGTTTACCGTGCCTATCATTCGCTGGATGTTCGCGGAAAAATCGCCGAGGAATGAGCGGCATTGGCCTCAGAGCAGGTTGTCGGCCTCATCGAGAAACCGGAAGCGCAAGACGAAGAAGACCAGAGCCCTGGACTTTGTGGGCTTATCCGAGGAATCGCCAACCCGGTACCCTATATATCTTTAGCGAAACCGAAGAAGAATACGGCCATGACCATGCAAAAAGCACAGGAAAAGGATACCAGTAAACAGAAAATAAAGGAATATAAGGAAAATCCACAAAAGAGAAAGGATCTTCAATATATGTCCTTTGCAATAGTCTGGAATACAAGAGAAAGGAATTTAAAAAGATTGAAGAATGCCAAAATAATTGAACACCCAATAAAAAAATACAAACACTTTTATATTAACATATATCACCTGTTACTAAACTGACACAAATCAACAGTAACTAATAAGTCAAATGAACATGTGTAACTTCTAAAACTTCTATCCATTAGTTTTTCTGCGTATCAGAGACAATGAAGGGACGATGGCTGGCGAAGCTTGAGGTGCAGCGGTTGCCGAGGTGCCCTGGACAAGCAGGCCGGACATTGGACTGCAAAGCCAGATGAATGAGGCCCAATTGGAGGGGGGCGGGTGGGGGAACCCAAGGGTCTCTGTACCCAAGGGGTCAAAAGGGAAAGTTGTAGGACCCATCCGAACTGCACGCCCAGCAGCTATTGCCTTTTTGATCGAACATACTAATTGGTTGAAATCCTCCTGAAGAGATAAGAAAACGAAATGAGTGTTTGAACCTTAATGGACATTAATGGAATCATGAGACATTTAATGACAAATTAATTTTCTATCTAATTGGGACCTTGTTGAGAATTTCATATAATTTCAGACTTTTTTTTTTATTTGATGAATCAAAAGTGTTATTAATAAGAAGAGTACTACAAGGGGTACTCACCCATGCATTACATCAAAAGTTCAATAAAAAGTTAAAAATCAACTGCACAATAGTGGGAATTGACACCAGTCCACGAAATTGAACTTAGCACAGGTAGAGTTTCCTTTGATCCAGCAGAAAGTTCTAGATTGAATTAAGTCAATCAATTTGTTTTCATTCTAAGGCTGTTTTTCAAAAATAATACCATTTCTGCTTACCCAAATGGACCAAGCAGCCGTTGAGATTGTGAGGTTCCAGCTCCTTGCTTTCTTGGGGACCTGCAGCGAACTAAGCTGGTGGAGCATGGCAAAGGCATTATCCGGGGGCACAAAAAGGAAACCCCACCAGTGACATATTTTGCTCCATAGTTTTTGAGATTGTCTGCATTTGGCAAAGATGTGATTTGCGTCCTCTGGATGATCACCGCAGAACATGCAGTTTGGATTGTTTGTTAAATTTACTCCTCGAAGAAACAGGTTGTCTTTAGTTGGAAGGCGGTTTAGGAAGAGGCGCCAAATCATGAAGCTAACTTTAGAGGGCACCAACGGGTTCCAAATCAAGCTGCAAATACTGCCTTGAAGACAAGTGGTGGGGTTTTCAAGAATTTGGTAGGCTGATTTTGCTGAGTATCTTGATGGGCAGTGTATCCAATTAAAGTTATTTGGCTTGGTGTCATGGATGTTAACAGGCTTTAGAGTGTCCTCTAATCTCTTGTATTCATCCAGCTCTCTCCCAAATGGTTCATGACGCCAATTGAAACGCCATCCTTGACCTTTCAGACTTAATTGAGCACAATTGAAATTTAGGTCTAGAATTATAAATTTTGTGCAAGTTTAGGTTCTTATTCCATACTTTTACCTTTTGTCATCATCAACACAAACATATTCCCTTGTATTGTCCATCAGTTCTTGTTGACTGTACTTGTTTGTTTTTATTGCCATTCTCCTTCAGCCTTTTAGTTTCTTTATTGAAAGATGTTAAATTATAAGTGTCTAGTCTAGTCTTGTTGGAAAAAGAGATGAAAGTGAGGCATTATAAAACAAATTAGCAAAAGCATAAAATGAGTGTAAAATTGACCGAAGTAAAAGAGACAAAAAGAAAACACCTATTTAACCAACCAACCCCAACTACTTTTCTTTGTTCCATTTTATTACTAACAATTGTTCTCCTTCATTGAAGTTCATCTACTTTGCTTTGTTCTTTTCAGCAAGGAATAAAATGAGTTTAGTTTATATCATTCTTCCAATTTCATTTCTCATCACATTAAGAGAAATAAAAAAATGTAATTTCCTTTATTTTGTTATTGACATAATTTTGTTGTAAAAGTATTACGATTTATTTGTTGTGATTATATTTTCCCCTAACTTTTTTCTTTTTTTCTTAGTAGATGGATTTATATTTAAGATGGGAGGAAGAAAATAGTGATGACAATGATATGGAGGAAGAAAATAATGATGAGGATAATATGGAAGAAGAAGCTATACAACGAAAAGAGAGGGAGGTGGGAGCTAGACGAAAAAAAGATAATGTCTTTTTTTCTCTTATTTCGGTAGGTGCTTCAATATCATTAAGATATATTTTGAAGTATCTTAATAAACAAAAAATAAGAATTTCTAGACTTTCAGGATGGCAATGGGTACAAGAGACATTGGCAACTCCAGGTGAGAGTTATAGAATGTTTATAATGGAACCACATGTTTTCAATGGATTATGTTCTTTGTTGGTTAGTAATTATGGTCTAACATCAACAAAAGAAATGAGTGTGGATGAAGCACTTGCAATGTTTCTTTGGATGTGTGCACATAACGAATCTAATTGCAATGTGCAAAATCGTTTTAAACATTCAGGAGAAACAATAAGTAGAAAATTTCGTGAGGTTCTTGATGCATTGGTGAGGTTTTCAGTTGATGCTATCAAACCACTTGATTCTAATTTTGTTGAAACTTCAAGGAAAATTCGAGAAGATAGTAGATTTTGGGCTCATTTTAAAGGATGTATAGGTTCAATTGATGGTACACATATAAAAGCCATGATCCTAATTGAAAATCAAGTACCATTTAGAGGTCGAAAAGGCATCCTCACTCAAAATGTGATGGTAGTTTGTAACTTTGACAGGATATTTACATTTGTAGTTATAAGTTGGCTTGGATCTGCTCATGTTGCACACATTTTCAATAATACATTGGAAAAGTATAAAGATGTGTTCCCTCATCCTGCTAATGGTAATGACGTTATGTTTGTTTTATAATATAATAACAAAGGCATATTTTTAATGAATTTTTAAATACATTTTCATT